CAAGTGATTTTGACGGAAAATTGCTAAAATAACTGCATATAATAGGCAATGATTGATAATTTGGACGGATTAAAACGATTGGAATGTGATGTGCAGTCAGTAAGTTTCATTGAATTGATAAATTCTTGGCTCAGGTAAGTTGAGTAGCTACGTTGATCCTGAGGTAAAGCAATTAACTGGGATGTAGCATCACTGAAGATTAAATCATGATAACCATCTTCAGAAACAAACATTTTAAATGTATAATCATGTGAATATTTTGATCCATAATATTGCTGAGCAGTTAAGAAAAGATTAACATAAGCAGTGATATATTGATGAGGCTTTAATGGACTGGTAACCATTGCATTACCAGGAACTTTACCAATATTACATTTAACTGATTCATTGTAACTGGCCCGAGTTCCGTCTCGACATAATAACTCAAAGTCACTTGGAATTAAATTACGAGACCAAAGAGCAGGATTCCGACCAGCAGTATTTTCCAGGATTGCAGTATGTTTAACAAAAGCAACATTTCCTCCTCCCTCTACAATACAACGGAGAGCACCGGTAGAACCATAGAAAGGTTCATTTGCGTCACGGGCACAGAAATATTTTGATGTTCCCGCACAAAGGTCACAAAGATTATTAAGGCCCCAATCAGAAGTTGTATAGTCGGGTGAAAGAGCGCCTGGTGCACAGGATTTTTGGAAAAATTGAGATGCTGCAGTGAGAGAGTCACAACCATAAGATCTCATTCGATTATTAGACAGCAAGAAACCTAATGGCACTACCCAGCCTGCAGCGGTTCCAACACCGGTGTGGCATGATGATTTACCTTTGAGGAAAAATAAATCTGACTCACGATCAGTTTTTTTAGCAACAGCAACGACATAATAGCTGGGATCAGTGAGGTCATATTTTTCTGTCAATATCGGTACTAAGCCATATTGATGACCGGCTCGATAAACATCTGCAGCATCCAGCATGACCAGATCGGCTCGACCTCGACGGATTGCTTCCATACAACCAATTGCACTTCGTTCAACAACGCAGTTTAATACAGGTTGCAAGAAGGCTCCACGAAAAGTTGTCACCATTTGATGACATTTTTTCATTTCAACAGCTGAAACTACACATAATCGAGCACTTGGGACTGGACATTTTTTTAACTCTTTGGACAATAAATCGTAATTTTCCTTTTTTAAATAATTACGGAATGTTTGATCAGGCCCAGATAATGGTTCAAAGCCATTGAGATCATCTGAAAATAAGAGATTCGCTCTATCTCCATATTTCTGAGGAGCTAAATAGTCGGCTAAAGCAAACGATGAGGCAGAATTTTTTTCACTGTTATATCCTTGACCATATGTATAATCTCTGGCCATGTTAAAAACTCGGATTGATTGCATGAGAAACTCTTGAACTTTTTTCCTTTCTTCTGGTAACATAGAAGAAAAAACGACAACAGCATGAGCCGGAGAACGACCCCAATTACAATCTGAATAACTGTCCAATGATCGACGACCTCCTTGCGGACATAAAAGCTCAAGATCGTTTTTTCTAAAGCTATACTGATTG